CGAAGTACGATAATCGCATCCTCAAAAGTATCTAGAATAAGCAAAAAAGTAATTATGTAATGTGCACAAATATTTGAACTAATTATTGATTTATCTAGTTACCTTTAACTTTCAAAATTTTGCAAGAATGTCGACCCCAATTTTCTTCCGGTGCCTTGTGTTTTTTAACCATAGATGTGACGTTGGGTGATGATGGCCAGTGGACTATTGATGTGTCAATGAACCAATTTGTAGACACAATAGATACAGAATTATCATCCTTAATAAATTCGACAACTGCGAATTTATCTTTCGGGGGAAGAGTGATTTTAGCCATGCTGCCAGAATCTCGTGCTGAAAATCGATTTAAGTTTGTATTCTACGCTGCGGACGATAGGTGGCGTCGCATGGAATAATTGGCCACTAAAGGCCCGACTTCGTGCCGACATTTATTATTAAATGCATTTTAAATATGCTTTTGCCAACGTTTTCCCACTTTCGGGGTGAGGATATGTAGTTTCTTCGGGTACCGAATTTTTAAATTATTCAAGTGGGGAATGGTTGGCAAAGTCGGCCTACCATTGACCACCCTTGCCACTCTAGAATATTCTTCGGCCCGATAATCTTGGCGAGTAGGGGTATAAACATTTCTTCCAACAAATTTAGATTTCCTGGAAATTCTTGCTACCATTCTGTAACAAATTTATGTATAATTCCACCCCAAAGGTAATTGTTTATTCGTCACATATTTTTTTCATAATTTCACACAAGTAGAAAATGATAATCCTACAAATTTCAACCATAAATGATCCACCACTTGCAAAAAAACAACATTCCATAATTTAAAAACAATCAACTTTCACTCTCAATCCGAGTAATTACATCATCACGGTAAAACAATGGAATCATTATGCAACACAAACAGTAATCATGATAAGTAACCTTCGAATTCAGTAAACCAACCCTTCACCTCTAGATCACCGCTAAGTCTACAATAGATAGATAGATATTTATTTCAGATTGATATGGCGGCGACCTTTACAATCATATGTTTATATCATTACAATGATTTAATTAACGGGTGATCTTAATGTAGAAATCATTAATATAACACTAGTAATAATAACTAAAATTAACTAACCTATACTAATTTACACACTATCGAGATAAACAAGTTGTACCTTAAATTAATTAGACTTTACAAATGTGCACCTCTGCGACAGTTTCTAAGTCTCCAATAGGTATACATATGGTTACAATGAAATGTAAAATATGTTTATACATGTGCTTTAAGTTTACTGTTTGTATCTCCTTAGAACCTTCTTATACTAAGGATCTATTTCATTTTCTCGCCACAATGTTGCATTACTTTTAATTATTAATTGTTTACCAAAAATCACTTCCACAATTAAATGAAATGCATAAAAATTGATGCCATTACACGCTCGATTGCGTCAATTTTACGTTCCTGTACAAATTGTAGTTACTAAATTTGCACATATGGAAAAATTTAATTCCGTAATCGCATTTTGCTACATCTTATCTTGACCCTCATTAGTTTTGATTTGCACCAATAAATCACTCTTCTTACTGATGAATAAGTTCGCTTACCAACTTGTATCATGCCTTTGCAGATCGCGTTATAATTTTCGACAATAAAAAGCACACTACTAATCCCAATAATCACACCGGATAGCACGAATATAGTTATAATTCCACCATAAATCGACATTGGCTTAAACAATCCCTCTCCACTAGGTGGTTTTCGGCCTCTCTTTGTATAAATTCGACGACTAATCTCCTCCTCCAATCTCGAATAAATTCCAGACTCTACTAACCCTACAAAATATTTCGGAACCTTTGAACCCCATCCGCCTTCAAATGTCCACGCTCTCATACCCGGTCTCATATTTCCCCTCCCTTTATAAAATTTTCTGTGTGGATATTTCCCCGCGTAATATTTCAATTCTATATCGACTTGATTATTTTCTCCGATGAGGATACTCTTTTCACAGTGAGAAAGTTCCTTTTCGGCATATCCTTGATATTCGGCCATGTTCGCATATCTGCTTCCACTCGCTTTAAGAAATTTAGCCATTACCCGCGGCAACAGGATATGTTTTGGGCTCAGAGTTAGAAATTCGATCAGCTCGTCTCGTCTAATACGATTGGGTCGAATATTCTCGGCCCACTGCCTAATATCGATTTGAAAAAACAAAAACGATGATATATCTTCATAACTGTGGTCTTGCACCATCAAAAATTGAAAACAATTAGGATCCGATGATTTGAACGGGTCGCGAACATTGTCCCAATTTTCCAAAATCATAGAAAAATTCATGTCAGTAGTATTCACATAGAATCCTGTGTGTTTTGATAGTAGAGATTTTTCGCAAATGACCTCCTCAAACGTATCGGGTGTGTAGCCTCTTAACGGGGCATTAAACTCGGAAATCATCAAACTGCTGTAGCAATTCGTCAAGAGTACAGCGGCGGGACACCAGGCGCTAAATATGATGCGAAAAAACTGTGATACTTCAACTTTCTTTGGTACCGAGGTTGCATCGTCGAGCAAAATGGCGACAAATGGTAGCCAAATTGAAGTAAATAGTGTGGCATCGGTGGGAAGAGCGATTAATTTATAAATTGCCATTAAGACAATTAGTATTGTCAATGTGGTGAGTACTGCGACCCACAATGAGCTAGGGAATGGGGTCAAGTAGAATTGGAACGAAATATACTTGTCTTCATAGCATGATAGGAAATTTAAACTGCGGGATTTCGTTACTACACTTGCAAACCTTGCGTCCAAATGTACAATTTCTGATTTAATAATAGGAGAGTGATGATTATTATGCAGATGTACTAGTACTATAGTAGAATTCGATTTGCCTAAGATAAGTTTTGCCATGTAGATATGCATATTAGACCATTGTTTTGTATCGAAAGGGTTCGGCATCTCGAATTGTAGCGCATTATTAGGAATGGCTAAATTATGTAGGTTTGACAACGTCCCGACGCCATGAACGTACTTCCAGATGTGTGAGAAACGTGCCAGTTTTTGATACTTTTTCAAAATATTTCCATCCCGAAAAACCCCACATACCGTTTGTTCCAAGATAGGTTTGCTTCGCGTAGTATGGACGCACAGCTTATACGACGATCTGTTTTCAGCTTGATGAAAGAATAAAAATGCAAAATTCTGTATATCATACCAAGGAATGATATCTATCATATTTTCGGTAAGTATGGTCTTCATAAATTTCACTTCCAAGTCTACTCCGGCATTACTTGGGTTGGCGATGATAAACACATAAACGTTTTTGGTTGACGTGATAAACGTTTTCTGAACAAAGTTTGCGCCGTTCCGTTTATATATAGCGTCTGGATCGTTGAAGTAGAGATGGACGACGGTCGCGATTTCAATCCATCTTGTGTAATCTTTTCCGCCAGGGTGTCTACTCTGATGTAGTCGTCTTGAAAACAAAACACTAATTTTACACTGGGCAGGACGTACCTTGGAAATGTCGATGGGGAATGGATATAGTTTCTTTTTATAGTAATAATATCGGAAAATGTAGTAAAGTTTGTATGCACGAATCATCTTAACGATCGTAGTTGGAAGGGGTGTGTCATAAAGGGGAAAATTGTCCGGGAATGTGTTATCGTGTAAAATTCGAAGATCACAGTTGCTAATTCCGCGAAATAGATCGGTATATTGATTAGCAAAGCAAGATTCAAGTTTGAGAAGAATTAAACAGAATTTTAAACATTTGGAATACATTTTAACATGACCAAAAACGGCTTGGAAAGGTTTACTTTTTCGAACTTGGTTATTTGTGGATCAAGGGAATGAATTTGTATTGCTGGTAATTCAATTGTTTAATATTTTACTCCTTGCGAATAAAGCAAATGTGACTGTTTGCAAATTATTTTCGAATCTGTTATCGAACATATGGCGCTGTTATGTACATAAGTGATAAAATGAAAAAGAAAGGCTTCATTAGATAAATGGAGTTTCTCCTAATTACAATAAGTGAAATATTGGGGGTATTCATGCAAACTAAAAATATAGTATTGTATAAATTCTTAAAAAATGTATACGCGACATGTATGAATTTCGTTTAGCATCGCATTTTCCAATATAATTCAACCAACTTATCTAAATTTTAATGACAATAGTTACAAAAATATTTACATGTCTTGTCATCAGAAATAATTTTAAAGTTTGGGACGTTATGTTTCATCATGATATGCCTCATTGACTTGGAAACCCTCATTAGTTTGAATGTTTGACATAAACACTTTTATTAATTTACTAATAATATTTTTAAGTTGGTATCATGCAATACGCTTATGTACATAATTTAAATATTTGCTGGTTGTGATACAAAAGAAAGTTAAAGAAAACAGATTAACTTTAATCAACTTCTTTTCTAATACCGGTAGAGTGATTGATAAATTTTAAACAAAGATAATATATCCACATAAAAACTACTTGAAATCTACTTATTTATTTGTGTATTTTGTTAAAAAAATTCACCATTCTTTGGATATTTGACAAATTTCGGCATTAATCTTTTCTTTGTACATTTCGCAAACGTTTCGACACTATATATGTATCAGAGATCGACGCCGCCGCGCCGACGCCGCTGACGCCGACTACTTTTTCGACGGCGCCGCCGCCGATAAAATTTGTCGGCCCGCCGCCGTTCCCCAAAATTTGACGCCGAATTAAAAATTTAGTAAAATCAATTAAAATTCAGCAAATCTCAACGAATTGCATAGAATGAGATAAGAAATAAGATTTTATGTTTCAACTTACACTTATTGTATTTAAAACTACATGATGCATATTTTTTTTTGCTTAGAAATTTATGTAAAATTGCATTTTCAACCCGAAGCAGGGCTTGAGTAAGCCATTCAAAAATGGAAATCATTATCACTTTGCAAAACTACGCCAAAAAATAAATTCGGGGTATAATTCTAATACAGGAGAGACTAAATACTATGTAGGGTTTGTACAAAATTGTAAAATTTATTGCTTTTGTCCATATCAAAATTATGTAAGAGTTATTAATTAAATTAATTTTCATTTCAATAAGAATGCAAGGAAAAGGTTGAATAAAAAAACATGAAATATGGCTACTTTTTGCAAAATTTATAACTATGTCTACTCATTCACTCTTATTATCGCCGTCTTGCCAAGTTTCAGATTTCTCTCCAATATAACTCGGAGGTGGTGTTGGCTCCACGTGAGGATTCGCATCTCCTGGGACCAACGTCTGTACAAAGAAATTCGCAAATTATAAATAATTGTATTCTCTAAACAAACGATGTTACATAAATATCTATTTACTTACGTGACAACAAGGTTTGTATGTTAGTCGAACCACAACGAGACTAAACATCGCGACCATGATCAAAATTACTACAGCTTGGATGCCAATTATCACAGATAAATTTGTGACTAGCGAAGCCTCATAATTAGTTTTGGTGCCGTATTTCTGCAAAATCTGAGAGGTCGAAGTTTGAACTTCTGGGTCAATCGTGATCTCATTTCTGGATTCAGACACACTTTCCGGTCTCGTTGAGGGGGTGGTATAGTCTGAAATTGTGATACCCTGATAGGCCCAGCCGTGCCGATTTTTCACCGTGCACCAGAATGTCGAAGGATCCATGTAGGCCGAACTATTTGCCCAGATTTCAACCCTACTTTCCCAATTGTATCGGTATAATTGCCCCGTCTGCGAGGGGGGTGGGGACACGGTGTAAATGGAAATCCCGTTCCCACTGAAAGTAAAAATTCAGAATTTTAAACTTTGTAACGTTACGAGTCGTAAGTTACGACTACAAAGATAAATAGATAATTAGTCTTTATTTCGTGATTTTATTTGATTTTAATACTTATATGATGTGATTTTTGTGATTTTACTAGTCGCCATCTAGCGGCTTAGATGTTAACCAATTATGCAATATCGCTATATGGCGACTATTAACATCAGATTAACATCACATAGATCGCATTAAGTCACATAAATCACATTAAGTCACTTAAATCACATTAAGTCACATCAAGCAAAATAAATCACATTAAGTCACATAAATCACATTAAGTTACATAAATCACATTAAGTCACATAAAGCAAAATAAATCACATTAAGTCACTTAAATCACATTAAGTTACATAAATCACATTAAGTCACATAAAGCAAAATAAATCACATTAAGTCACATAAATCAAAATAAATCACATTTTATTGTGATTTCAGTCATCCTAGATGACAAAAGTTTCCACAAAATTCAAATATCTTGTCCTTAAGCATACACATTTTCTCAGGTGTGAGTAATGAAATGGAAAATTGGTAACGATTCGTCACAATTAATTTTTACACATCAATTTACCTCGTTAGCAAATCACCCGTGTGATTTGGACCTTGCCTCCACTCAAATTCCGGCCCTGGGTAACTTTCCGCCACACATGTTAGCAGTATCTTCTTCCCTGTAACTTTTGACGACACCTTTATATCCCGCACTGGACAACCCAGATCTCCCGGTGGGATCGTGGATAACACTCGACCCCTCAAATTATCCGGCGTTTGACAAACCACATCTCCCGAGACATCGACTTTCCTCACATAGCGGAGATAGTCGTTTAGAAAGTGCATGTGGCAATCACATCTCCACGGGTTGTCTCGCAATGTGAGGTTGCTGAGAAAAATTGCACCTTCAAAATTTGTCCAGCTCAATGTCTCCAACTTATTGGAGGCCAGATTTACTACGAATGCAAACTTGTTCCTGAACGGGTAACCTGTAAGTAAATTTCATGTGAAAATATAAACTACCTACAGAACAAGTTCAAGGATTGCAAAAAAATAGGCGCCATCTATCCACGTGTGCGAATATTACGCCTGCGTTTTTGTAATCAGATCGCGGTGTGATTTAATATAATTTATTCTGATTTTAATATTCGCCATCTAGTCATGTGCTACAAAGTTAACATTTACACGGCTAGATGGCGACCATTAAAATTACAGTATTCCAATTAAATCACAAATCACGTGAATTCATCAAGTGTGATTTTCACACCATTATACGACGGATGGCGGCTAGTCCTTCACCTTTTTTTGCACTGGAGTCATAGAAACACTAAAATGTGTAAACATTGCCTACATAGATAAGTACTCACCTGGTGGAAGTTTTGTCATCGAGCAATTACTCAGATCCACCATTGCGTTTATTGCTACGGGTGCAAAGGAAAGTTGCTTGATCGGATTGCCACTTAGGTTCACGTATTCCGGGGAGTGTGTGTAACGGTCCAATTTTACGGAAGATATTTTGTTCTGGCTGAGGTCGACGTGGACATTTTGGAATTCTGTGATTCCCAGAAATGCCGCCTCATCCACCTCTACAAGTCCGGAGGAGGACAAATTGATCGATTTCAGGTTGTAGAATCCCGCATTGATGAAGACGTTGGAGGTCAAATGGGTCAAGGTGTTGGTGGGGGAGGAGAGGTCGAGGTGCTGGATGTTAGAGGGGTCAGAAAAGGTCGGTATGGACGAGCAGTCGGAACATTTCAAGGTGGCACTGGACAATGAACATGTACAGGGTGTCACGGGACGAGAGAGGGTGGACAATACGAGGACAAATAAAAACACACGGGGTAGAAGGGACGTCATTGTTATGTGAATAGTACAATGACGAAGGGAGCGATGTATCCGCCTGGACGGAGAAGCAAGGACTGTAGAATGTAATGGAAAGACTGATGGTTGTATTTGCTAAACTAAGGAAAAGACAGGGTTCCGTGTCCCTAGTGTAATTAATTGCACATGGTAAACAATAATTACACAATGTCATTACCAAGTTTGGTAAAGTTTGGTGATGAATAAATTAACAAATATGAATTTCTTGTATTTTAAGTTGCGCAAAAATTGTTAAGTTTTAATTGACAATAGTAACTACGTTCACATAGAGTAGTACCGATTCCGACTAATTATCCTAGGGAATCATGGGATTTTCGAGCTTCTAAATTTTTATTTAAATTTAAAGAATTGATTCTTATTCCCACATCAGCCCAGAGTTGACATAGATTTGTTGGGAATATTCCCAAATTTGTTGTTGCTCCCATAGAATTTTACGCAATATGTACCACCCTGGTTCAATATAACCTTGAGAAATATTGTATTCTTGGAAAAAGGTTCAGCATTCCAAGCATGAAAAGATGTGAAGGTCGAGAAGAAGAGTTGGGTAGATAGAGTTTTAACTTGAGACTCGATCGGTTATGTGGACTTTCCAGTTATTGGAATAATCCTTAAGTCTAGAATTTTTGACTTTTATCCAATGCGTCGTTTTAATCTGGAATAAAATCTTAAATTTATTACAAATTAATTCAAATAAATATATGTAACTTCTTCGAATAATTATGAATCATTAATGATAGCTTTATTTTGATGAAAACGTGGTAAACAAAGCTATTTTTAATATAGTCACCTAAAATCTGAATCTATTGTTATGTAAAATGAGACCACGATTATTAATTTATTCGGACAAATCATGTGATTATGACTGACGAATTCTACATGTATTAAATAATCAATAAAAGTTTTGAAAAGAAATGTATTTATATAAAGGTCTGATTCGCATTCCAGGTATTGGGACTATGAAATTGGCGAATTGCACGTGTAGCAAAAATTATATAAATAATTTCATCATCGATCACTTGACAGATTTTAATATGCTTAAAATATTCCAATAATCTTACGTACGTGTCAGCATTATAAATTAAAATTTTCCACCAGATGTTCATCATTGTTATATTTCATCAAAACGGGTATAAAACGGTGCAATATTCGATATCAATTTAATTCACTTGTCTGAATTTTGATCCAACACTAAGTAAGATAAATCGTCATCGTTATGAAAACCTTCATCATTCTGCTCTTCTTCGTTGCAATGGCGATGGCGGCCCCACAAGTGGAATTCGGCAGTTTTTCGGCTGGATCGAACACTGATTCTGAAAACGTCCTTTCTGGAGCGTTCGGCATCGGATCGGGATATGGGGGTGGTGAAGAAATCAATGGCGGGATGGTACGATCTGCAGGAAACGATTGTTGTTGGAATAGCGAACCGAAGTAGGTTTCAAGAAGAAAAAACATACAAAAATTTTCAAATATTACCCTTCTCTAAGTGATGAATTGTTATCTGGACTGATTTATTCGGGGAATATGCACTGTAATTCAAAAATTTTCAATAACACCGCATTATGTTGAATTTGTAAAACTAAAATAATATTCAATTGCATTCAAGGAATTAAAATATTGTTACGCAAATTACTCAAGTGCATATCTTCGGCAAATTAAATAAGGTTACGTGTTCATTATGTATTTCGTTTTTACAAAACCTTTAAGGATTTATTATGCGAATTCGATCACACAAAAGTACATATTTTACCACATTTTATATTCATCATAACTCATAAGATAGATAAATGCTGTTCAACAAAGAAAATTATAGTCATGTCCAGTGTTCCCAACTTGTAATTCCCACACTAGCAGTGTTGCATATTTCCCACCTAAAAGACTTTTTCCCAGTGGGAAATGGGAAAAAGTGGGAAAAAATGGGAAAAATGGTAAGTGGGAAAAAGTGGGAAAAATTGTCGCCACCTAGCGTATGTTACATAAGAACTAACGTTTTTCCCACTTTTTCCCATTTCCCACTGATTTTGGTGGGTGGGAAAAAGTGTCTTTTTCCCACTTTTTCCCACTGTCCGGTAAAAAGTGGTTTATACCACTTGCAACACTGCACACTAGAAAATATGTAGGTGGGAAATAGGTTTTATTTCCCGTCTCGGGAAATATGTAGCTCCTTCTCGAGATGATAAACTGATGAAGGTTAATGCCTATAATTGTCAAATATCCAAAGAGTGGTGAATTTGTTTTAATAAAATACACAAATAAATAAGTAGATTTCATGTATGTTTATATATTATCTTTGTTTACTGGTATTGGAAAAGAAGTTCATTAATGTTGATTAAAGTTGATTTGTTTTCTTCAAATATTTTGCATCACAAGTAGAAAAACATTTAAATTATGTAGATAAGCGTGCTGCATGATACGAACTCAAAATATTATAAAGTGTAAACATGCAAACTAATGAGGGTTTCCATGTCAAAGTAGTTGGTGTCATGATGAAACATAACGTCTGAAATTTCTACAACAAATTATTTCTGATGCCAAGTTATTTGAATATTTTGTCAATGTTGTCATTAAAACGGTGGTATGTAAGTAGGTTGAATTATATTCGAAAATGCGATGTTAAATGACATTCATATCACGGATATTTACATACATATGTTAATAATTTATGCCACACTAAATTTTTGGTTTGTGTGAATACCCCCAATATTATCGCTTATCGTAATGAGAAGATATTCTATTTATCTAATAAAGCTTTTCTTTTTCATTTTATCATGTATGTGCATAGCAGCGATATAAATTCGAATTCAGATTCTATTGAAAATAATTTGCAAACACTCGATTTTGCTTGAGCAAAATATTAAACAATTGGTTTACCAGCAATAAAAATTCAAACTTTTGATCCACCAGCAACCAATTTCGAAAAAGTGAAACCTTTCCAAGCTATTTTTGGTCATAGCGGATTGTCAAAATGTATTGCAAGTGTTTAAAATTCTGTCTAATTCTTCTCAAACTTGAATCTTGCTTTGCTGATAAATATGCCAATCTATTTCGCGGAATTAACAACTGTGATCTTCGAATTTTACACGATAACACATTCCCTGAGGATTTTCTTCTTTCTGCTGCACCCCTTCCAACTACGATCGTTAAGATGATTCGTGCATACAAACTTTACTACATTTTTCGATATTATTACTATAAAAAGAAACTATATCCATTCCCCATCGACATTTCCAAGGTACGTACTGCACGGTGTAAAATTAGTGTTTTGTTTTCAAGACGACTACATCAGAGTAGACACCCTGGCGGAAAAGATTACACAAGATGGATTGAAATCGCGACCGTAGTCCATCTCTACTTCAACGATCCAGACGCTATATATAAACGGAACGGCGCAAACCTTGTTCAGAAAACGTTTATCACGTCAACCAAAAACGTTTATGTGTTTATCATCGCCAACCCAAGTAATGCCGGAGTAGACTTAGAAGTGAAATTTATGAAGACCATACTTACTGAAAACATGATAGATATCATTCCTTGGTATGATATACAGAATTTTGCATTTTTATTCTTTCATCAAGCTGAAAACAGATCGTCGTATAAGCTGTGCGTCCATACTACGCGAAGCAAACCTATCTTGGAACAAACGGTATGTGGGGTTTTTCGGGATGGAAATATTTTGAAAAAGTATCAAAAATTGGCAACTTTTTCTTGCATCTGGGAATACGTTCATGGCGTAGGGACGTTGTTCGACAAAGATAATATACTTATTCCTACGGATGAGCTACAATCCGACATGCAGAACCCTTTCGATACAAAACAATGGTCTAATATGCATATCTACATGGCAAAACTTATCTTAGGCAAATCGAATTCTACTATAGTACTAGTACATCTGCATAATAATTATCACTCTCCTATTATTAAATCAGAAATTGTACATTTGGACGCAAGGTTTGCAAGTGTAGTAACGAAATCCCGCAGTTTAAATTTCCTATCATGCTATGAAGACAAGTATATTTCGTTCCAATTCTACTTGACCCCATTCCCTAGCTCATTGTGGGTCGCAGTACTCACCACATTGACAATACTAATTGTCTTAATGACAGTTTATAAATTAATCGCTCTTCCCACCGATGTCACACTATTTACTTCAATTTGGCTACCATTTGTCGCCATTTTGCTCGACGATGCAACCTCGGTACCAAAGAAAGTTGAAGTATCGCAGTTTTTTCGTATCATATTTAGCGCCTGGTGTCCCGCCGCTGTTCTCTTGACGAATTGCTACAGCAGCTTGATGATTTCCGAGTTAAATGCCCCGTTAAGAGGCTACACCCCGGATACGTTTGAGGACGTCATTTGCGAAAAATCTCTACTATCAAAACACACCGGATTCTATGTGAATATTACTGACATGAATTTTTCTATGATCTTGGAAAATTGGGACAAAGTTCGCGACCCGTTTGAATCAACGGATCCAAATTGTTTTCGCTTTATAATGGTGCAAGACCACAGTTGCGAAGGTATACCATCGTTTGCTTATTTTCAAAACGATATTAGTTATTGGGTCAAGAAAATTCGAACCAATCGAATTAGACGAGACGAGCTGATCGAATTTTTAACTTTAAGCCCAAAGCATATCCTTGCTTCGCGGGAAATGGCTAAATTTCTTAAAGCGAGTGGACGCAGTTTTGCGAACATGGCCGAATATCAAGGATATGCCGAAAAGGGACTTTCTCACTGTGAAAAGAGTATCCTGATTGGAGAAAATAATCAAATTGATATAGAATTCGAATATTACAGGGGGAAATATCCGCACAGAAAATTTTATAAAGGGAGGGGAAATATGAGACCGGGTAGTAGAGCATGGACATTTGAAGGCGGAGGAGGTTCCAGGGTTCTAAATTATTTTGTAGGGTTGGTAGAGTCTGGAATTTATTCGAGATTGGAGGAGGAGATTAGTCGTCGAATTTATACAAAGAGAGGTTGAAAATCACCTAGTGGAGAGGGATTGTTTAATCCAATGTCGATTTATGGTGGAATTATAAC